CCCCCCCGCCAGACCTGCGCATCCCGCTGATGTGGAAGGACACGGAGTACTTCAGGAACAAAGGGGGTGAGCTGAGGGGGTGGGGGGTGGTGGTGGTGGTGGTCCCGCCCCCCCCCCCCCCCGCTCCCCGCACCTCCTGACCCCCCGCCCCGCGCAGAGCTGCACCGCTGCGCCGTCTTCTGCCTCCTGCAGCTCGGCGCCGAGATCCACGACACCGAGATGGTGCTGGTGGACCGCACGCTCACCGACATCTGCTTCGAGAGCGCCGTGCTCTTGTGAGCGCCGCGTCCCCGCGCCCCCCTGTGCCGCGTTCGCACAGCCTCGCATCCCCGCATCCCACACCGCGGCAGCCCATGGCCCCGGGTCCCCGCATCCCCGTGTCCCCAAGTCCCCGTGTCCCCACATCCACGTGTCCCTGCATCCCCGGGTCCCTGTGTCCCCGTTTCCCTGCATCCCCGTGTCCCCACGTCCCCCCATGCCGCATTCACACAGCCTCACATCCCCGCATCCCACACCACAGCAGCCCGCATCCCCGTGTCCCTGCGTCCCCGTGTCCCCATGTCCCCTCATCCCCACGTCCCCTCATCCCCACATCCCTGCATCCCCACGTCCCTGTGTCCCCACGTCCCCATGTCCCCACATCCCCGCATCCCCATGTCCCCACACTCCCGATCTCACACAGACCCCCGTGTCCCCACGCTCCGTGTCCCCTCATGCCACACCATCACACCCCTACACCCCGCGTCCCCGCACCCCACGTGCGCCCGTTTGCGTCTCCTTATCCCCCCCCCGCTCCTCCCGGTCCCGACCCCGCACTGACGCCGCTCTCAGCTCGGAGGCCGGCCCGGATTTCCTGCTGAAGGTGGAGCTGTACAGCGCGGGGCTGGGGGACGAGGTGGGGGGCAGCGCCCCCAGGAAACTGGCCAGCAAACTCAGCAGCTCCCTGGGCCGCTCCGCCGGGCGCCGCCTGCGGGCCACCATGGATGGGGGGCCGGGCAGCCCCACGGCAAACGGGGGGGGAGCCCTGCTGCTGCCGGCCCCCAGCGTGCCGTGAGTGCAGGAGTGAGACTGAGAGGGGGGGATATGGGGTGGGATGGGGTGGGAGGGGAGGGG